AGTGGTTTTCTATTTGTGGATTGTGACCTCTGTGGGGTCACATATCAGATAGCCTGCACATCAGATTTTACACTGCCATTCATAACTGTGGCAAAATTACTGTTATGAAGTAGCAACAAAAACTAATTTTGTGGTTGGAGGTCGCCACAACATGAGGAACTGTATTAAAGGGTCAATTGTTAGAAGGTTGAGAAGCACTGACTTAATTTATTATCTGGTTGCCCACTCTGCCCTCTAAAGCCTCACGAGGCTAGTTTTGATTGACAGGGTCTGGAATCACCTAGGCAACATGCTTCAATCACACCAATAAGGGCACATTTAGCATAGCTTAGCTGTGTACATGACTGCAGAGGATGTGCTTGACTTCCTGTTAGAGGCGTTGGGAAGACCTACCCTATACGTGAGCAGCAGCACTGTGGCCTTCCATCCTGGGTGCATAGATGGAGCAGCACCACCCTGGGCTTCCATCCTGGGCTGCACAGACTGAGACAGCCAACTGTGCAGAAGGCCCACCCCCCCTGCTTCCTGACTGCAGCTGCTGCATGTCACCTGCTGCCTCATGCTTCTGCCTCTGTGACTGCCCTGGACCTGGGAATAAATCTTCTCCCTTAAACTGCTGTTGTCAGATACTGAATCATAGCTGCAGGACTCACAGTAAAAGGAAGAGTAATTAATAACACAAGGCAGGTAGAGGCCACATCTTTCCTGGGAAGTTTTTATTAAAAAAAAAAAAAAAAAAAAAAAAAAAAAAAAAAAACTTTCTGACACACAACAAATCCTCTGCAAACAATTTTTAATATATTTACCATAATAGGACCAATTATTAACTATACTCTTTTTGCATAATTCTTTTCATTACTAAGTTTACAGGACCAAAGCACTGCTGGTAACAATGGTCATTTTGAAGTACTACCCATGGGTCTCCTTTAAGAAAACAACAAAAACGATGGGAAAAAAAATAAAACTTCTAATGTCAGTAAAAAGGAAAAAAAATGATTTTCATTACAACACAAGTACCCAAAAGTCCCATACACTTTGGATTGTGTTTTTAAAGGCCTTATCTGGAACTGGACAATTTCAAACCACATTAATCTTGGCCTGGTGCACAAACCACACCAAGGAACTCTTACAGTTCTTCCAGAAACCAGTCTGCTAAATGACAGTTTCCTCGAGCTGAGGTGTTCTTTCTTTGGATTTGCATCCAAAACCTTTACCATTTTACACCCCCCACTCTAGCGCCCATTGAAAATTGTGTTATGGGGCACATCCTTCCCCTGCTTTTTTATTTCTATTTATTTATTTATTTATTTTGTTCATTGACAAGGCTGGGGGGGGGGAGCAATTCGTTTGACTACTAAGCTTTAAAAGAACGGAGGAGGGGAGGCCAAGGCTCACAAGCAGAGGTCCTTAAGCAGTCTCCTCAAGAGATACACTGCATCACATGAAAAAGATTAAGGACCTACTCATCCAGTTCTCATACATAGGAAGAAACTGAAGGTGTCAAAATAGGCACATGCATTGCATACGTTTACTAATTTTATAGCCCAAAAGCATCGCTAACAAACCTGTCCAAGTTGTCTACAAGCAAGATGGAAAGGTACTGAGGCAGAGTAGAAAAGGTTGGGCCATATCAAAGCTGTCATCATCAGTATGGACAATGAGAAAATACATCCCCACAGCTATCCTTCAGTTCCTCCATGTTCATGTTCATCATCCCACATCGGACCTTTCATTGCCCAGAATCACAGTTTCATCAAGCTTTGGGGACAGCCGGCCCAAGTCACCTCCTCTTTTTAGAGGTTCCCGAGTACTACTTATTTACATTACTGTTTGTTTTCCTGTTGGGTGGTCCACTCAGATACATCATTCATCTTTTTTTTTTTAATTAAGTTAGACTCTGCCTCAACTGTCTAACAAAACAGTGACTGGAAAACAGAGAAGGAATTTGCTTCAGCCCTTACAGTCCTATTTAGCAGTGAGAGTGATCTCTGTAAACAAACTCAGAGGGAAAAAGCATCCTAATGTTAAATGAGGAGCTAAAGCTGCCATGAGCAAACGCCCAAACAGACCCAATGTCTAAGCTGTCTTTATTAGCCTTTTAATAGCTAATTCAAAGACATTCAACTGCCACCCTCCTCAAAACCTAAAATAAGTCACCTTGGCCACGCATTATGGGACTCCTCCCAGGTTAAAGAAAGTAAAAGCTGAAGTCCTCCTAGTTTGGAACTATTTGATGATCAAGCACTACCCAGAAAATCCAAATCCCATCACTGACTAATGACATTTTTTGATATCAAAACCCCAGAGAAAGGAGCAGTCGACTCCAACAGCTGAAGAAGGTTTTCCTCACTGGGCTCTGGTAGTCACACACATCTCAGTATTTACTAGCTATGAGTCAGACAAGTCAATGAATTCACTCACAGAAAGCAGATAACAGCAAAACTATTGGCTATTAGAGGCAGAAGAGCAAGTCTGGAGATATGCTACTAGGAGGACTGGCCTTCAGAGATAACTGATGAGGAGCCAGAAACCCTTGCCTGAGTGTACTTATTCACCTCTTAGCCTGGGTGCTCACATGGCCGGCCAGGGCCCCAGGCCACACAGTAAAAATTCAGAGTCTTTACCTTGAATATCAACAGCTCATTGGAAAATGATAAGCAGCTGGAGTAAAAGCAGAGGGGAGGGACCCTAACTCAGGCTTCTCTAAATAAGCTCAAAATGCTAATAGGATTCTTACCATTCATTTTCCTACATTGAAAGTGCATACTGAAAACAGAAAAAGTCAGGGGTAGCTGAAGTGGCTCTTGGCTTAGGTTATCCCACTTAACTCTAGCATAGAGTAACAAAAGGGAAGAGTACAGCTGATAATTTTCATAAGCAACGAACATTTAACATCTAGAACAATGGAGGGCTCTCAAAGAGAACACGTTCTCTAGGTAAATGCCCGCAAGATTTAAAAACACAAAAGGAAACGTAAGAAGCTGTGTCATTCCTAACGCTAATGCAGGCCAGTTTCTGTACTGTGGGTTTTGTTCCTGGTTGAGGCAAACACTGCTGCAGATGAATCCATCCTGATTTTCCTTAAGCATACCTGTGCAGTGACTGGGCTACCAGTCCCCCACAGCACCACCTGCTGGTCCTGGGCTGTATTTACAACAACTCCATTTCTGGAGGACCCCGAGACTTCAAAACATTGAAAAAAAGAAAAAAATTGTCACTTCAAAGTCAAGGGTGGAGACAGAGGGTGAACTGATAAGCAACGAATAATCACATAAAATATCTAAGTTTCAAGCACCATCTTTTGGTTGCCGAAAATGGCAAGTGGGTAGTTTAAACCCCCCCCCCCCCACTATTTAGCCTACAGATCTTGATCCCAAGGCTTTAAAGGTAGAGTAATGACGTGCTCTGAGGGGTGCTCACTCAGCGAATACATTCATCTTTCATTAATGACAAGCATTAACTAGCTACTAAGACCGCTTAAGAAGAGGTGATAGGAAGATGAGGTTCACAGCAGGGTTTTCCCTCATGTTAGCCCTTCATAGACAACCATGCCCCCTAGGGACAACCAGCTCCTATTATGAAACCCACTACCCCATGGATGCAGTCAGACTCATAGATGGACAAGTAACAAAACCTCCCTTCCCAGCCAGCTTGTCAGTCTCTTGCAAACAGCCCAATCTCAACTCTGATCTAAAATGAAATCACAGACTCAAAATAGACCACGATTTAAAAGATCTGGGACGGAAACAAACAAAAGAAACATTTTTTTTTTCTGAACAGCAAAACCATGAATTGAAAATAAACCAAAGATAAATATAGTTCATACTTCTCTAGTTCTGCTTCCGGGCCCTATGTTAAGGCCTTTGCAGATTTTCGGGTTGGAGAAGTAATGCCATCCTCAAGTTCAATTCACGATTTTAAGAATTGTCACAGTTTAAATGTGATGGGTAAATCAACGGCATCTACCTACCCTTATCTTTAAATAGCTATGCTTTATAACTAGCTCATTTGAATGACCAGGTCTCAATACCACAAAATGAATACAAATACAAATAACAACACAGTACAGTCACATGACTGAGAATGGTGGATGCTAAATAAATAACTCTTTAACGCCGACAGAGGAAATGAAAATGGAAGTCATATTATTCATACAGAAAAAAAAATGCTGATTCTGCTATCATACTCCTCTCTGTAAAAATAGACTCGGCAATCCTCACAGCCAGCCAGATGTGCGCCAGATTTACACAGGACAGAACTTGGCTGTGGGGGGAAACCCGGAGTTTGCCTCAGTCTTAGGCAGGAAAGAATGCCTGTTCTTTCTTGGAGAGGGTGACTGTCAATAAATTCCAACAGCATCTTGAAAGGGTTAAAAAGCTGGGCGTCAGGTGGTTTTATTCCCACTCTGGGGAGTAATAAAGCAAAGTTATCTCCTCTTCCTTCTCCACTAGCCAGGATGGAGAGACTTGTCACTGCCATTTACACCATCAGGCTCGACTCCTGCTCTAACAAAAGGAGGGCAGCTCAGACACTCAGCTTCCCACAGCCTGGCATTGTCGCCAAGTTCTGAGCGCCGCTAGGTGACAGGGGCACGAGCGAGCCAGGACCAAATTTATCTATTTCCAAGCTGCATGCTTTCAAAGAAAGAGGGGACAACCGAGCTGTGGGAGGACTGGAGGATGTATGTGTGTTGGGGGGTGGGGGAAAGACAAACAAACTTTCAGAGCCCCGGGATCTGCATTCCCGCACGAACTGGCAGCACAGTGGCGCGCCCACGGGATGACCTGGGTGGGTGGGGACGCAGCACGGAGAGGGGCCGGGGACGGCCGCGTCCTCGCCCACCCTCTCCACGGCAGCTATCGAGCCTGGGCCTCGCCGCCGGGCCGGGGCGCGCAGCCGTGCGCAGGGCGAACGGACATCGGGGGCCGGGTTCCCGGCGCCCTAGCCCGGTCAGAGCAGGACCCTGCGCCGCATCCCCACCCGCCAGCGCCCCAGCTTACCTGGGCCGTTCTCGGGCCCCTGCAAGGCGGCCAGGCCGGACACCAGGCTCCGGAGACCGCGAGGAGAAGCTTGGGCCCTGCGGGGCACTGCAGGCCGAGATGAAGCAGCAGCCGGGTCCTCAGCGCCCGCTCCGAGCCGACCGCGCTGGCCGAACCGGCCCAGATCGCGCGGCAACGGAGGGTTGGGCTGATCGCCGCCGCGTTTGCACCTCCGCACCGAAGGGGCGGGCTCAGGCAGGCTCCGCGGGAGAGCGAGGGAGGGAACTTGGAGCCAGTGGCAGCTGCCGGAGCTCGTGTCCCCGCGCAGCCGGCACTCCCCCAGGGCGCCCCGCCCCCAGCCCACCTTCCCGCTCCACCCCCTCGGCACCCTCACTCCTCCAGGCTCACCTCCGCCCCGCCCACCTGTGCCCAGGCTCTGCTCCCGTCAACCGCAAGCCCACCCTGCGCCCCACTTCCCCACTGCTCCACCCCTGAGAGGCAGCCAGGGCATGAGACTCTCCCACCCCAGGACAGTGCAGACCAGGCTGTGCTGGTACCCAGAATCTGTGTGCAGATGTGATGAGCCCACCTGGTAGCCCCTTGTGGAAGATATTGGCGCCCATTTCCTAACTACACATGGTCAGTAAGCTTTTCTCTGTGGCCAGGAAGCATTCAGGAAGACTAAGCCCATTCTGAGTCTGAGTTTTGCTAGTAGGAAATCTTAACGTTAAAATCCGTGCTTATCAAAAGGAGATTGAGGCCACAATATATTTCTGGCAAGAATATTAAGCATTTTTTTTTCTGTTTTTAACCCTTAATACTTTGAAATGTAATGATGTTGTATGGTTTTCTCCAAAGGACATTTATACATATTTAAATTAATTTCCTTCTAGTTCAGAAATTATAAAAGTCAGATTTCTATAATAAATTTCTGGCTATTTGCAGGAGTATTGTGTTAGTAAGTGGCATAATGCTAGGCTTTGAGCAGAACTTTGGCATGCAAATGAGTTCCTTGTCAGCAAATTACATTGTAGCTTCCATTTCTACTCCAAACCCAGTGACAGTGGAATGAAGCTATTTTTCATCATTTACCATAGCAAATGCAGGCACTTTCCAGCCAGTGCAGAAGTTCCCACCCATGCCTCCCCAATACACACACACACACACACACACACACACACACACACACACACACACTTTTACTTATTTTCTCCTAGCCTCTGTATGGCTGAGATACAAACCTTAATTTGCATTGCCCAGGGTAGCCAAATAAAATATATCTTGTCCCCTGGATATAGAGATGGGAGGCAGGAGACCATGATCTACTTAGGGAAAATCAAGGTCCTTTCTCCTAAATGTGTTATATTTAGAAGCCTGCACAGCCTGCAGCCTGCACAGCCTGCAGCACCTGTGTGTACCCCATCAAAGAACAAGACCAAGCCAGAAGAAATGTGAACAAGGGAGAGTCAGGAAAACCCACGTATCAACCACCTTTGCCAAGCCCTCTCTGAAGCATCGGGACAAGGGGTCTGAGGATGTCGGCAGTGACTTGTCTTTCTTGCTCAGAAGTATTGCCATAGGCTCCCTTTCAAAATCTTGACTTATAAAATCATAAAAGATTACCCTGTGCTTTGGATATCAGAAACATAACCGGTGAGTTCCAGCTTTTGTGTTGCCCAAATCAAATTATTTCTTGATAATGAAGTATGGGCCAAGAAGTCACTTCAAGTCCTGGGTTTTAATAGGATTAAGGTTCTCATTGAGGGTAATCTTACTTTTCACCGTAGAATTGGTGCACCCATACTGTTCTTACCATAACTGAAGCCAAAGAGATGTGGTCAGAGAATGAGAGGCAAGCAATCATGTCTAAACCAGAACCTCCTAGTGAATTTCCTGTCATAGCAGTACAATAAAATGTACTTGTCTTTTCAAGACAGATTGCAAAGGGCTACTATGTCTTCTGGGGGATTTGAAGCCTGATTTTTGAACTATGAATGTTCCTGTACTTGAGTATGGTTCCAAAGAAGTGGGCCATTGGTCTATGTGTGGAATTCATTTGTTTCACGTCGGTTTTTGTCTCTGAAAGTACCCAAACAAGCATCTACAGATGCAGTCAGGGTTACCCACAGCCTCATAGCTGGATTTACTTTGTGTGGGAGAATAATATGACATCCAAAGGATGGGGGATCAGGACCCTCATTGTTTCTTTGCATGAGTAAGAACCTAGTCTTCCAATCATTCGTGAAGTTTCAAAAATATAAAGGCCTGTGAGCTGAATAGCAATGAACTGTAAACATATGTGCCTCCCACAGGAAAGACAAGGGAGAAATCATGACTCAGCAGTTTAGAAGCAACCAGGAGGAAAAGGGCCCAGTATCCATGCCAGCCCCCAGGAGCATCTGGGCAAATGGCAAATGTTTCTAATTCTCCAAGGAGAAACTCAATCAAACGAGTTCCCCAACACCGTAGAGAGGGTCCCCATAAGGTCTATGCTGTTTCCTTTTCTTTTTTAGTTAGGTCGGGCTCACAGAGCTTCATTGTTCAGAACTCTCCCTACAAGCACAGCATGACAGAATGGTTTCTGGCAGGATACAGAACTAACTGGAGAGCTCCTGACCACACCAGGAGAAGGGAGAAGACAAGCATGAAGCAAACGCTTATTTTTAACTTCTCCCAAGAGTGCATGGTGGTTATTTGAGGTTAACTTGTGTACTTCATTCTATAGAGAAGCCTTGAGAAATCCTCAGCCCTCTGACCAGATTCCTACAACTTTGAATTGTATGTAAACTTAAAGTTATTGGTTGGACAAACTCCATTTGTCTTTTCCTCCAATGGTTGCTTTAAAGTTATAGAAAAAGCAGGGAAGAGAGGAGTATCTATCAGAAGTGGGAGGGTGGGTTAGAACCTATGACCCTGAGGGAGATAGGAAGCTGAGATAGGAAGAACTTGAGGGAGCTTGCCTCACTCACTGTGTGTCTGTTCGCCATCGGCAACAGCCCAGCCTTATCTAGTGTTTCTGGCCTCACAGTTTACTTTGCATTCCTGCACATGCTCAGGATTGTGATGGGTGTTTGTAGACAACATCCAGGACCTGGTTTAACTCCAATAGCTACCCTTTCCTAAATACTTAGTCTGTTAGGCAATTTATCGCTTCATTTTTAGTTGACAGGGACCACTAAACATAAATATTCTGTTGTCCATTTCGTGAAGACATTCAGGCCAAGGAAAGATGAATGACATATCTAAGGTTAGAATTAGCAATTAGACGATTTACGAGCTGACCCATGTGACCTGTAGCCCATCTATCGTTTACTCTAAACCAAACTTGCTCATGGACACCAGAAATCATCTCTCCAGCGAGGCAGTCTAACCACAAGAGGCCATTTGACTATATTGAATTAAAGTTTCAACACATCTAAATCGCTTGAGTTTAATTTTGACTCGCTGAACTAAAATTTTTGATTTTAAATGCCAATGACTTGAAATTTTCTTAGCCACAGGAGTTACTTTTTTCAAGTGTTCTGTAACCACATGTGGCTGATGAGTGAGTGCCCTGTTGGCTGGCCCAAATTAAGTAAAAGGCATTTCCATTGTCAAAGAAAGTTTTGCTGGATAGGATGGCCCTTCTGACTTTTGTCTGTGCCATGGGGTAAGGCAGATTGCTTTGGGATTCAATTCCTGAGTATGTTTTTCAGGCCCACACATGTCACTGTTGTTAAGGAATTGTGTGTGTCCTAAAGGTGTAATCTCTTTCTGTGATCACTCTTCATTGGCAGGGTGTGCTGTCCTGAGGACCACAGGTAAGCATAGAGGGTGAGAAGTCATTCACCAGGGATACACACGGCACACCATAGGGCCCTGTGCTTCTAGATCTACTTTCTGGCATCTCCACGTTGCATCTTCTTGCAAATACCTGCCTGACATTGGAAACACCATGGTCCTTGTTAGTCTTTGCCCCCAAATCTGATTCTATGCATTCATGTGCTCTTCCTATGACTTTTCCTTTTCTAATTCCATGTCTCGAAACATCTTGGTATCCACTGGATCCATGACCTCTACAGATACAAAATGCATTGTTAGGTGATTATGTTTATTATACATTACATAGTGTAGTACTTGCATATGACCTATGCATAGCCCCCTGTAAATGGGAACTCATCTCTGAGCTATTTGTAATACATAGTGCTGTGTGAGTAATTGTTATCCTCTCTGGTTTAAGTCCTGTTTTCCATGTCATTTGTAGCCCACTGTTAATGGCTGTGATGATGCATTGTTTAAGGAGTGGTAGAAAGGAGAAGGCATGTACAGGTGCAGATAGACTGTTCTCTGGATATTTGTGATTTGTGGTTGGTTTATTCCCAGAATGCAGAACCCATGGGTGTGTGGGCAAAGTGTACCACTGCCTAGGCAATTTAGTGATGCCCTATTTCAAAATAAAAACTAAAAAGAGGGTGGAGTGCTGTGGAGTAACCCTTCTGTACACTGTGAGTGTGTATGATTCTCATTGGTTAATAAAGAACTGATTGGTCAGTAGCCAGATAGGAAGTGTAAGTGGGAGCCAAACTAAACATGCTGGGATGACAAAGGACAGAGTCAGGGGAGTCATCAGAGGCACAAGGAAGGAAGGAAGGATTTAAAAGGCTCTCGTTCTCTCTCAGTCTCTGTCTGTCTCTCTCCCCCCCACACACACACGGGGGGGCATTAACATTGATCAACAGAGATCCGAATGATCAAGGGAGTCACTGAAGACTAGACATGTAGGTAAGCAGGTAGATAGACAGATAGACAGATTGACATGTAGGTAAGTAGGTAGATAGATAGGCAGACAGATTGGTAGGTATGTCCATAAGTAGAATTTAGTAAGATTTGATCTGATGCAGCTATGAGTAACCAAGGCTACCATGTTGGTATTTAATGCTGGAGACAGAAAACCACAGTCTAGCTAATCACATAGACAAGATGAGCGGAAGTGGAGAAGAGCAAAGTTTAACCCTAACCCAGAGGAACAAGCTGGTATCTCTTTGTGTCAGATTCCTGAACCCCATAAGGACCTGACAGATGTCTGCCATTTCTCATGGTCTTCGCTTACGCAATGCATGCTCAGCATCCACCTAGCTCAAAGTGAAAGCTGAACGAGGATTTAAAGGGAAGAGGAACAGTTACAGAGTAAGGTGTTGCACAAGCCAATGAGGCGAGCAAGTTAATGAGCAACAGGAGGGAGCTACTGACAATGGCTTAGTCTAGCCTTCTCACCATGCACACTAATAGGCAGAATCTTATCTTCTGCATGAAAACGTCTCTTAAGGACTATGTTATGTACACATAGATACGG